GCATAGAGCACAGGGAACTGTGTATATTAGGGAAGAATTCCACCATCTATGATTCATCCCCAGGCCCTCTGTTTTTACTTTATGACCCTCCCTCTGTGCTGACCTTGTTCTAGGCTCCCTCCAGAATGGTGATTACAGCCCTTAAGGGCTGGAGTCCATGGAAACTGACAGCAGCCTCCTGTCATACATAGATGGTCTCTATGGTCTTTGTTCATGGAATAATTCAAACATCCTTTGTGATCTGTATAGATCGGCAATGCATGAGTCTCCTTTTGTCTTCATCTTTTCTTCTCTCTGGACAGACTCTGTGAGTTGTAGGCTTAACTTGAATCATGTTTTAAATAACATGGCTGCACTGTATGGTTTGGTGTCAACTTGACACAAGTTAGAGTCATCAGAGATGAAGGAGACTCAGTTGAGGAAATGCCTCCATAAGATCCAGTTGTAAGGCATTTTCTCAGGTAGCTATCATGGGGGAGGGCCTAGTACATGGTGGGTGGTGCCATCCCTGGGCTGGAGGCACCCTGGGTCCTGGGTTCTATGAGAATGCAGGCTGATCAAGCCATGGGAAGCCAGTAAGTCAGTAAGCAGCACCACGCCATGGCTTCTGCATCTGCTCCTACCTCCAGGATCCTGCCCTGTTTGAGTTCCTGTCCTGACTTCCTTTGGTGATGGACAGTAATGGTGAAGGGGAAGCCAAATAAAACATTTGCTCCCCAACTTGCTTTTTGGTAATGGTCTCTCATCACAGCAACATAAGCCCTAACTAAGACAAGGGTCTTTTTGTAAACTTTTTGAGACAGGGTCTCACCATGTAACTGTCTGAACTTGAAACCTCAATATAGAGCAGGTTGTTTTTAAACTCACAACAATCCACCTGCCTCTGCCTATGAAGTTTTCAGATTAAAGGAATGTGCCACCACAAGCAATTAATAGCAGGAACTTTTTCTTCCAGGTGCTTACATGGAGAAGCCATTCCTTACTGTTGATTCAGGACCTCAGGGATTCTCAGAAATCAATGCAACTCTCCACTGCCACATACATGTTTCCTTTAATATCTTCATCCTCTGCAGAGATGGAAATGCTTCCTTTCCCCAGAACTGTTCATGGCAGGACCACAACACATTCCTCATCTCTCATGTGAGCCTGGAGCACCTGAGGACCTACAGATGCTTTGTCTCTGACAAACACAATTCCTACTTGTGGTCACTGCCTAGTGAGCCCCTTGAGTTTTCAATCCCAGGTAAGTATGTCTGGTTCTTGTTCCTTATCTCTGTGCTTAGAGAGTCCTCAACGTATGCCATGTGAGATATGCCAATTCCACTGCATGTCTCCTGTGTGCTGTGTGTTGCACACCACACTGCTATTCTGACTGGAATTGCTCCATTTGCACTATGGACTCTGAACATTACGTGTTAATTATATTATTTTGGGGTAGATAAAAGAATATTCATCTGGGGACTAGAAGTCCTTACCTATCCATAATGAGAACCTTCCTGAAAGATGGTGTTCCACTTGATTGCTGACTGTTGTCCTTCAATGTTGCTTTCTGAGTTGTGTGTGTGACAAATATGTCACTATCCCACAGGACAGAACAATTGGAATATATCTCCTAGTTTCTCCATTGAAGGTGACTTTTTAGATTTGAAGAGATTATCTGTTTTTTCTTTTACCTTTTAGATTATGATATAATATGTCATTTCATCCCTCCTTTTTCTTCCTCTAAACCCTCCCATGTACCCCTTTTTTCTCTTTCAAATCCATGGCTTCCTTTTACATTAATTGTTGCTACATGAATATATGTATATGTATATGTATATCCATGTATATATTTCTAATATACCCTCCTTAGTCTGTATAATGTTGTTGTATGTTTTCAGAGCTGACCATTTGGCGTTGGATAACCTACTGGTGTGCTCCTCCCTGGGGAAGACCATTTCTCTCACTCTCAGAATTTCCAGTTCCCTGTAGTTATTTATGTAGGGTCGAGCCCCCATAGTCTTTCTCCCATCCACTTTCGCATGTCTGTTTTGTTGTCCTTGTCCAGCTCATGTTTAGGCAGTCATGGTGAAACTTTATGTGTGTTGCCTCTGATATTAGTAGGAGACACAGTCTCACAACAAACTCCCTCATGCTTTGGTTCTTACACTCTTTCCTCCCCCTCTATCACAATGTAGGTGTTGTTTTGTAGATGCAGCCATTGCATCTGAGCTGCACAACTCTGCATTTTGGTTTGTTGTGTTTGTAGTGGTGTATGTGATGTGATGTGATGTGATGTTGTGATGTGATGTGATGTGATGTGATGTGATGTGATGATGTGATGTGATGTGATGTGATGTGTAACGGTCTTTATCTGTTGTGTCATGAAGTTTCCTTGGTGAGGGACGAGTACTACTCTTATCTGTCCCTCCAGCCTTTGTCATCATAGTGCCCCCTCTGAACAGCCATCAGTCCAGTGGAGAATGCAGGAAACATTAACAGAAGAGAACTCTGAAACAACAGTGCCAGATTTCTTGATGGAGGGGACTTATTTCTTTATTTCTTAGAACTTCTGGTCCTTAGGGATGTCTTGGGGTTTTAAGAGTTGGGACATGATTCAGGTGTGGGGAACAAAGGGCACAGGGCTGTGGAAGTTCCAGTTGGGAACATAGTTGAGATAGAAAACTTGGGATAGAAAACATCAAGTGTGCATGGGTTAAAGATGGGAAGATGGACATGAGGAGGCAGGGGGAAGAAATCCCCTGTAGAGTAGAAAATGGGATGGCCCATGATGAGTTTTTATGTGAGCAGGTGGCATACAGGAATGTTGGGGGGTCTGCTCATCCTTAGACATCCACTTCTATGCAACATTTGAATATGGATTTTAATTTTACTGCTGCAGCTGAGAAATCCTCTATGATGTTCAGAACTATATATCCAATGGAATATTTGAAATTTATCTTTGAAGACATTTAGCACACAGCTCAAAAAACTCCAGACTGGAAAGCATCCCCACATCCTCCACACATAAGTCCTTTCTATTGTTATGTGATGAATATGTATATTATATAGATGTATATACACACATACATATATCTATATACAGACACAAACCCTGACAGACAGACACACGAACATATATGTATACCGATTTCATATGGGAGACAAAACATACACTATTTGAGCCTGATTTTTCTTTGCTCAATATGAGGACATTTTCATGTTCTTGTAAATTATATCAGTTCATCTTTCTGTCTGAATAAATCCCCATTCTCTGTATAGCCAACTCCTATAGTACAGTATAGTATAGTACAGTACAGTATAGTATAGTATAGTATAGTATAGTACAGTATAGTACAGTATAGTATAGTATAGTACAGTATAGTACAGTAAGTATAGTATAGTATAGTATAGTATAGTAAAGTACAGTATAGTACAGTACAGTATAGTATAGTACAGTATAGTATAGTATAGTACAGTATAGTATAGTACAGTACAGTATAGTACATTATAGTATAGTACAGTATAGTATAGTATAGTACAGTATAGTACAGTATAGTACAGTATAGTATAGTATAGTATAGTACAGTATTGTATAGTATAGCACAGTATAGTACAGTATAGTATAGTATAGTACAGTATAGTATAGTATAGTATAGTATAGTACAGTATAGTATAGTATAGTATAGTATAGTACAGTACAGTATAGTATAGTATAGTACAGTATTGTATAGTACAGTACATTACAGTATAGTATAGTATAGTATAGTATAGTATAGTATAGTATAGTATAGTATAGTATACTTCAGTATAGTATAGTATAGTACAGTATTGTATAGTATAGTACAGTATAGTA